ATTTTGTGTATACTGAAGCATTCAAAGAAATGTCAGCAGATGGCACTGCTGAGTTAAAATCCCCAGAGACCACACTGATGAGTCAGAACTTTTCAGGAACCTTATTTTAACTATGACTCATATTTGATTGTAAATTCTTAGCAATAATAGCTGCGGATCTTTGCTCATGTGTCTGTTTTATGCCAGTTTTGATTGATTGCACATTAATTTCATTCCATTTTTATTTACATAGCAACAGATGACAACAACAGATGCCTCAAGATGCTTTAAAAACTCTACAATAATAGACAGAGGGCAGAACCAGACATCTATTTTTCTTTCTTTTTTTTTAATGTGGTCCTTTCTGGCAGCTTTTGCAATCAGAATTGTGATCTGAATGCATGGTGGTGCTGAAGACATTTTGCTTTTGCACAAACAGCTATATAGAATCTCTATAGGCTCCTCTTATTCATGTGAATCTTTTATTTGTTTATTTATTCATTTCTTTTTGTGCTATTTCAGATATTACATTATATGTGGTATAATATGATAATGTCTAAGTCAAGGTAGGCAAGAGAAAACAAAAAGAGGAGCTGGTGGTGGCAGTGCTGTGACCGGATGGGGTTTAACTCAGTTCAGTTCAATTCAATTTTATTTATACAGCGTCAAATCACAACAACAGTCACCTCAAGGTGCTTTATATTGTAAGGTAGACCCTACAATAATACATACAGAGAAAAACCCAACAATCATATGACCCCCTATGAGCAAGCACTTTGGTGACAGTGGGAAGGAAAAACTCCCTTTTAACAGGAAGAAACCTCCAGCAGAACCAGGCTCAGGGAGGGGCGGGGCCATCTGCTGTGACCGGTTGGGGAGAGAGAAGGAAGACAGGACAACAGACATGCTGTGGAAGAGAGACAGAGATTAATAACTAATCATCAAATGCAGAGTGGAGTAAACACACGCAAGTTAAAAGAGCTGAGTTAAGAATAAACACTCTGAGCACCTACTGCAGTGTAACTAGGGGAGGATTCAGGGTCACCTGGTCAGTCCTAAATGTAACCTTTTTCAAAAGGGAAAGTCTTCAGCCTAATCATAAAAGAAAATGTCTGTCTCCCAAATCCAAACTGGGAAATAATTCCACAGAAGAGGGGTGGGAAATCTGAGGGCTCTGCCTCCCATTCTATTTTTAACTATCCCAGGAAACATCAGTAAACCTGCAGTCAGAGAGCAAAGTGCTCTATTACCTCATACAGTACTATGAGGTATAAAGCAGTCCTACATACAGGGAGTGCAGAATTATTAGGCAAATGAGTATTTTGTCCACATCATCCTCTTCATGCATGTTGTCTTACTCCAAGCTGTATAGGCTCGAAAGCCTACTACCAATTAAGCATATTAGGTGATGTGCATCTCTGTAATGAGAAGGGGTGTGGTCTAATGACATCAACACCCTATATCAGGTGTGCATAATTATTAGGCAACTTCCTTTCCTTTCACAAAATGGGTCAAAAGAAGGACTTGACAGGCTCGGAAAAGTCATAAATAGTGAGATATCTTGCAGAGGGATGCAGCAGTCTCAAAATTGCAAAGCTTCTGAAGCGTGATCATCGAACAATCAAGCGTTTCATTCAAAATAGTCAACAGGGTCGCAAGAAGCGTGTGGAAAAACCAAGGCGCAAAATAACTGCCCATGAACTGAGAAAAGTCAAGCGTGCAGCTGCCAAGATGCCACTTGCCACCAGTTTGGCCATATTTCAGAGCTGCAACATCACTGGAGTGCCCAAAAGCACAAGGTGTGCAATACTCAGAGACATGGCCAAGGTAAGAAAGGCTGAAAGACGACCACCACTGAACAAGACACACAAGCTGAAACGTCAAGACTGGGCCAAGAAATATCTCAAGACTGGTTTTTCTAAGGTTTTATGGACTGATGAAATGAGAGTGAGTCTTGATGGGCCAGATGGATGGGCCCGTGGCTGGATTGGTAAAGGGCAGAGAGCTCCAGTCCGACTCAGACGCCAGCAAGGTGGAGGTGGAGTACTGGTTTGGGCTGGTATCATCAAAGATGAGCTTGTGGGGCCTTTTCGGGTTGAGGATGGAGTCAAGCTCAACTCCCAGTCCTACTGCCAGTTTCTGGAAGACACCTTCTTCAAGCAGTGGTACAGGAAGAAGTCTGCATCCTTCAAGAAAAACATGATTTTCATGCAGGACAATGCTCCATCACACGCGTCCAAGTACTCCACAGCGTGGCTGGCAAGAAAGGGTATAAAAGAAGAAAAACTAATGACATGGCCTCCTTGTTCACCTGATCTGAACCCCATTGAGAACCTGTGGTCCATCATCAAATGTGAGATTTACAAGGAGGGAAAACAGTACACCTCTCTGAACAGTGTCTGGGAGGCTGTGGTTGCTGCTGCACGCAATGTTGATGGTGAACAGATCAAAACACTGACAGAATCCATGGATGGCAGGCTTTTGAGTGTCCTTGCAAAGAAAGGTGGCTATATTGGTCGCTGATTTGTTTTTGTTTTGTTTTTGAATGTCAGAAATGTATATTTGTGAATGTGGAGATGTTATATTGGTTTCACTGGTAAAAATAAATAATTGAAATGGGTATATATTTGTTTTTTGTTAAGTTGCCTAATAATTATGCACAGTAATAGTCACCTGCACACACAGATATCCCCCTAAAATAGCTAAAACTAAAAACAAACAAAAACTACTTCCAAAAACATTCAGCTTTGATATTAATGAGTTTTTTGGGTTCATTGAGAACATAGTAGTTGTTCAATAATAAAATTATTCCTCAAAAATACAACTTGTTGTTAATTCTGCACTCCCTGTATTTTTAGGAAATGCTGGTAAAAAACAAGACTTTCCGTGGCTTCATAGTGCTGCTGAAGGCCAAGGTGATGCAATCCAGTTTAAGTATCAGGTTATATTTTTAGGGCCGAGTAATACATTCAGTAAGAAGCAGGAAATTAGAGATCACCTGATCATTTATGTCTTTAAGAGATTTCTCCAGTTTAACTCATTAATGTGGGTCATCATATAATGATACAACCTAAGGGAAGCATCTATAAACTAAATGAAACATGCCTCGGGTGAGCATCAACCTCAGATTATTAAACTGACACGTTGCTTAATGCGCCAACTTGCACTTGAAACTCCACTGTATCCACAGCCCTGACACAGCAACAGGAAAAGTTGGGAACAATTTTGAGGACCCATGCAAGACTTCAGATGGCTTCTAAAATGTGTATATCGTACCCGTCCAGCAAAATACATTACTGTAACTTCAGGGCAAGCTAACCTGTTTATCCTATATTAAATTGCCAAGTAGATTCATGAAACCTGTTTTTCAGGACATTTCACAATATGAAAAAAACCTTCACATCAGTGTGAATTGGTCCACTAAAACTACACTAAACTAAAAGAATCGAGATACCTAAATTATGACTAAATGTCATAGTAGACTATCAATATAATTAAATGAAAATTTGCTGTCAAAGTGAACCTTGAATCATACAGATCCAATATCTGATTTACGAATAAGGACTTTACAGATCGGCTTTCTATTTTCAGTTTATTAAATCTTGCAGAGTAGTCCTTACCTCTAAATATAACCTCTCTCTTCTGTGAATATTACTAAACAAATAAAATCAATTGTCTTGACATGTTGACTTTAAGTCGATTTACCACAAATACTCTAAACACCTCCCGGATTAAAACGTGCATTGAGTGGGCACATAACTGTTAATCTGTGTGATAACTAAAAACGCACTGAGCATGTATCGTCTCTCCACACAGCCAATCACTGGTGCAGCGCACGTTTAAAACGGTGGATCTCTACAGAAAGTACCAGGACAACATGACTCCTGTGGGTCTGGCCTTCTTCCAATGCCAGTGTGATCAGTATGTGACAGATACCGTGCACAACACAAGACACATCACATAACAACACAATACATGCTGGAACCTGCACGTCTCTCTAACGCGTTCATCTAAGTTGGGCCAGGATTTTTGTGACAGCTGGAAATGTGAGTTTAACGGTCTGCTTTCCTGCATCTTCTCCCTGCAGACATGAGGAAACGTGTCAAATACCGGCAGCCCCTACGCTAGCTGGAAAGATACAGAGATGGAAAAGAGCACAACTATGGAATGTACTGGTTATGCAACACATGCATATTTGAGAAAACGTCAACAACTATGTGGACAATGTTTGTCATATTTATGTCATGATTGTAAAAATAAAGCAAATTTCAGCAGCACTGGTGTTGCTTTATAGTTTGCTTTGTTAAAGACCATATATAATATGTCACATAGCGCCACATCTTCATTTTAAGCATTTCTAGCAAACAATGGGAGATTGACGATGGCTCCTGGGCTAGGCAGATCCTCACGTACTAATGAATATTTAATGAATTGGAAAAAAGGGAGGGAGCGTGGGGCACAAAAGCTTGTAGAATCTGATTATAGCTATGACTCATATTTGCCTGCATATGCTTATCAATTATAGCTGCCCATGTTTGCTTATGTGAAATGTCTCTTTACTGCCAGTTTAGATGGATTGCACTTACAGTTTAAAAACTTCTGCGTGCCTGTCTGATCAGAACAGAACAAAAAATACAAATATTTAAGTACAACATGCCCTCATATGTTTGAAAATTTGCAAAAGTTTGTGGTTTTCATATTTTTAATCCCCTTCAGATAAATTTCAATAATTGATGTTCCGATGTTTCCTTATCTTGGCATTTCCACATTGCTCTGTATTAATCTTTATAGTTAAACTGAACCCTGTACGATCTATCATGAGCTGAAAGACTGCAAAGTTTCTTGCCTTTTCTTATCGGCTCTTCTTCTTTAAAAATATTTCTTGGCAGTTGCAAACAGCAAAATGGTGCATTACTGCCAGCAACTGGTGTGGAGTGCGTCTTTGCTCCTCTTTTTCTTCCAAAGTAAGATAATTGGAGCTGATCAGCTGCAGGTGTGACGCCTGCACAGTGGCCTTTTTAAACCTCACAGGTGACTTCCATCTGTGCTTGGTTGCTGGAACAATGGGAGCTGTTCGGACCATTCTCGTTTGTCTGCTGGCTGTTTGGCTTGCTGGAGGTTTTGTAGCTTCTTTCTGCTTCGTTTGACATTTATGTTAATTAACTTAGAGTAGATTTTTGTAAGATAAGATCTTGGAACTGCTAGAAGGTTCTGGTGTAAAGATTCGGAAATATCACTTAGCTTTTGCAAGTTATCCCTTTTGGCATCAAACGGCATAAAGAATGAACAGAAATGCGCTAATTGTAAATCATGTTCCTCCTGTTTTGCAGTCAGTGGATTGAATCACAGACAGAATAAAGTGCTGCAGAGGGAAAAGACAGGTAAGGTCCCTGGCTTCTAATTTATGCTTGAGGGCACACGGTTACAAAATTCATTTCAAGATGGTTGGTGATTAAAATGCCTGTCATTCATCTGAAAGAGTGAAAAGTGTATAGAACACAAAATTTTCAAAAGCTTATCAGGGCATGTTGTACTAAGTGTATTCATTTTTTTTGTCTTGTATCCTGTGACAAGACTACTCAATGTGATTTGAAGTTATTAAATAAGGAAAATGAAGGGGGGGAATGCTTAAATTGTCAAGAACTGGGTTGTTGCCAGCAGTTGAGTTTAATGGTTATATCATGTGTAATGTTTTCAAATTAAAAGTATAAAACACAGGGTCCTAATTCAAATAGACACTTATGTAAGTACCTGTTACTGTCTGTATGTGTGGACTCGGAGGAAGATATTTGTAACTTTGGAAACCAGCTGAAGGTTGTAGTATAAACTTTCCCTCAATGTGAAAACCTCTGGTATAATAAGAATGTTGTGTTTATAGGTCTTGGAGCCAATGATGGTTCAATACAGAGAGCGCTTGTCCTGCTCCAGTCAATATTGACTCAAAATGTTGATGAAGGTAAGCAAGATCCAGTTTTATGTAGTTTGTTGCCAGTAGTTGACAAGCATGTGACAGCACACTTGTGTGGGGCACATGCATGAGGGCTTTGGTCAGTGGTGTTGTAATTGACTTAAAAATCCTTATCTACATTGTTCAAGGACGTGATGTAGACATTTATACAACCGTATCCTTGCATATGACCAAAAAGTGATATAGGGCACAAAGTCTGGGACCAATTGCTCGGTGTGGATTTGACTAAATCTTAATAGTGTCTGTGGTTTTGTTTAAATGTTGTTTATATTTTTGTTCCAGTACAACAGGAAACTAATGAAGTGGATACTGAAGCATCAGTTGGAAACTTGAAATCTGGATTGCCTTTGAAAAAGCCAAACAACGTTAAAACCGTGAAGGGAAAAACTGGAGTCAGTCAGAATGTTGGTTTCCAGGGAGGTTTCTCTAAACCGAGTGACTCCAACGCCACGGCGGGCGGCCTGCCGACTGACTCCAACGCCACGGCGGGCGGCCTGCTGAGTGACTCCAACGCCACGGCGGGCGGCCTGCTGAGTGACTCCAACGCCACGGCGGGCGGCCTGCTGAGTGACTCCAACGCCACGGCGGGCGGCCTGCTGAGTGACTCCAACGCCACGGCGGGCGGCCTGCTGAGTGACTCCAACGCCACGGCGGGCGGCCTGCTGAGTGACTCCAACGCCACGGCGGGCGGCCTGCTGAGTGACTCCAACGCCACGGCGGGCGGCCTGCTGAGTGACTCCAACGCCACGGCGGGCGGCCTGCTGAGTGACTCCAACGCCACGGCGGGCGGCCTGCTGAGTGACTCCAACGCCACGGCGGGCGGCCTGCTGAGTGACTCCAACGCCACGGCGGGCGGCCTGCTGAGTGACTCCAACGCCACGGCGGGCGGCCTGCTGAGTGACTCCAACGCCACGGCGGGCGGCCTGCTGAGTGACTCCAACGCCACGGCGGGCGGCCTGCTGAGTGACTCCAACGCCACGGCGGGCGGCCTGCTGAGTGACTCCAACGCCACGGCGGGCGGCCTGCCGACTGACTCCAGTTCACTAAATGTGAAGCAGCTGAAGTTGGTGCTGGAAGACTTGACTTTGGCTTTGGAATCTTACACTGATTCCACAGTCCTGACACAATAGCAAGAAAACTGCTTTGCTCTTGAATAAAACTCTTAACTTCAAGTTATGTGTTTTTGTCCACTGATTAAGGTACTTTACCTATTTCTAACATTTTAGTCATTTCCATAGTAATCCTAGACAACTAAATTATTGGTATAATTTGCATAGGTGGTAAGCTCTGGGTGATTTTATATTTTTTAAATTTAAAAAAAAAGCCCAACAAAAAGCTAGTTTACCAAAATGCCAAGAACAATCAGAGGGAAAGTCAGAGCTCTTTTGAGCAAACCATCCATTTAACGTTAACTAGTAATGACTTCATGAACTTCACAAATAACATTTTTATCATTAAAGAAAAAATTACCAATAATCATCCCACAGATGTAATATCTACAGCTACTTTAGTACCATTGATGTTAGACTCTTTTTCACCAATAGATCTTTCTGAGTTAACTTCAATAATTGCCTCCCCCAAACCATCGTGTCTTTTAGACCCCATTCCTACAAAACTGCTCAAAGAAGTCCTGCCATTAATTGGTTGATCTTAAATATGATCAACCTAGCTCTAATAATCGGCTATGTACCACAGGCCTTCAAGCTGGCTGTAGTTAAACCTTTACTCAAAAAGCCATCTCTAGACCCAGCAGTCTTAGCTAATTATAGGCGAATCTCCAACCTTTCATATCAAACATCCTTGAAAGCGTAGTTGTCAAACAGTTAACTGATCATCTGCAGAGGAATGGCTTATTGGAAGAGTTTCAGTCAGGTTTCAGAGTTCAGCACAGAAACCGCTTTAGTGAAGGTTACAAATGATCTTATGGCCTCTGACAGTGGACTCATCTCTGTGCTTGTCCTGCTAGACCTCAGTGCAGCGTTCGATACTGTTGACCATAATATCCTATTAGAACATGCTGTAGGTATTACAGGTACTGCACTGCAGTGGTTTGTATCATATCTAATAGACTCCAATTTGTGCATGTAAATGGAGAGTCCTCTTCACACACTGAGGTTAATTATGGAGTTCCACAGGGTTCAGTGCTAGGACCAATTCTGTTTACATTATACATGCTTCCCTTAGGCAGCATCATTAGAAGACACAGCATACATTTTCACTGCTATGTAGATGACACCCAGCTCTACCTGTCCATGAAGCCAGATGACACACACCAATTAGTTAAACTGCAGGAATGTCTTAAAGACATAAAGACCTGGATGGCTGCCAACTTTCTGCTTCTTAATTCAGATAAAACTGAGGTTATTGTACTCGGTCCTGAAAATCTTAGAAATATGGTATCTAACCAGATTCTTACTCTGGATGGCATTACCTTGGCCTCCAGTAACGCTGTGAGGAACCTTGGAGTCATTTTTGACCAGGACATGTCTTTTAACGCACATATTAAACAAATATGTAAGATTGCGTTCTTCCATTTGCGCAACATCTCTAAAGTTAGAAATATCCTGTCTCAGAGTGACGCTGAAAAACTAGTTCATGCATTTATTACTTCCAGGCTGGACTACTGTAATTCATTATTTTCAGGAAGTCCTAAAAACTCGCTGAAAAGCCTTCAGCTGATCCAAAATGCTGCAGCAAGAGTCCTGACAGGGACTAGAAAGAGAGAGCAGATTTCTCCTGTTTTGGCTTCCCTTCATTGGCTTCCTGTTAAATCCAGAATTGAATTCAAAATCCTGCTCATCACATACAAGGTCTTAAATAATCAGGCCCCATCTTATCTTAATGACCTTGTAGTACCAGATCACCCTATTAGAGCACTTCGCTCTCGCTCTGCAGGCCTACTTGTTGTTCCTAGAGTATTTAAAAGTAGAATGGGAGGCAGAGCCTTCAGTTTTCAGGCCCCTCTTCTGTGGAACCAGCTTCCAGTTTGGAGACAGACACTAACTCTACTTTCAAGATTAGGCTTAAAACTTTCCTTTTTGCTAAAGCATATAGTTAGGGCTGGACCAGGTGACCCTGAGTCCTCCCTTAGTTATGCTGCAATAGACGTAGGCCCCCTCCAGGGGCAAGGGTACCTAGACCCGGTTCGTAGAGTACGCTTGGGGAGTGTGATCGTGTGTACAGCGTCTCTTTATGTCTGTCTCCACGTTGGTTGAGTGTGGAGTGAGTGCATATGAGAGCATGAGGGGGGGAATGGATGTTTGTGTCTGTGTGTGCCTGTATGTCTGTGTCTATATGTCAGGTTGGGTATCAGACGCCACCTCTCTGGGGACACCTCAGGCCCTCCAAGGTTTGGAGGCCTATCTCCACCCACCACCACTTCCCCTGCCAGTGGTGGACTCCCTCAGGTGTCGGTGCGTTGGTGGTTCTTTGTGTCTGGGGGTGGGCGTCCAGGTACACACCGGCTCACTCCTTGGCGGCCGCTTATTGGGGCCTGGAGCCTGGGGCTCGCTCGGGCCCCTTCGGAGGTGGGGTGCCCCGGCCTCTCGGCCTGGGGCTCGGTCACTCAGGCACAGCTGGCGGCCGGCGGAGCTCATGGGTGCGTCACTGCAACTCCCCCTGGCTTCTGCTCCGCGGCTGCTGAGTGAACCCTCATCTGGGACTCTCCTCAGCTCTTACTGGAACAGTGGCGCGGCTGCCCCTCTGTTGGTCTTCCTTGGTCTCTTGTGTTCTGGGGGCCTCTGGATGTCTGGAGTTTTGATCTCCTCCATACCTGCTTCACACCCTGGAGGACGGGGCTGTGGCCCCCCCACACTCCCTAGCAGATCATTACATGGAGAAACCTTTGGAATACAAGCGCGCTGATCCACACAGGTATGCACACGGGTGTTCACTGCTCGTAGACCCAAATTACACCTTTCCTAGCTGCTACTCCGAAGCACATCTGTCCTGCGTGCTGCACAACAACATTGAATATTTGGTATTTACTGCTGTTTACACTTAGCTAGATTAATTCGATGGTGTTGTGTTTAGTATGTTGCTTTGGTTTTTTTTTGTCTTTTTTGCTTGTTTTCTATTCTTCTCTCAACAGGTGATCCAGGAGATTTTTTTTTCTCCCCCCCTTTCTCACTGTCCCTCTCCCCTTCTGTTTTTCCTTTCCTTCCTCTTTCTTTCTCCCTTTCCTATCCCTCACTCATGTCTGTCCTGTCTGTAACATCTGAAAATAAAATATAATAAATAATAAAAACAAAGATCGACCAAATGGACCAATACGGCAATGCCACGATGATCCACTTGGCAAAGTAAATCCATTGGGTATCCTTGTTGGTCTTCAGACAACAATTCTGATGGCTAAAGAACCAAATGGGACAGGCAGAAAAAAAAAATAGACGTAGGCTGCCGGGGATTCCCATGATGCATTGAGTTTTTCCTTTCCAGTCACCTTTACTCACTCACTATGTGTTAATAGACCTCTCTGCATCGAATCATATCTGTTATTAATCTCTGTCTCTCTTCCACAGCATGTCTTTATCCTGTTTTCCTTCTCTAACCTCAACCGGTCGCAGCAGATGGCCGCCCCTCCCTGAGCCTGGTTCTGCTGGAGGTTTCTTCCTGTTAAAAGGGAGTTTTTCCTTCCCACTGTCGCCAAAGTGCTTGCTCATAGGGGGTCATATGATTGTTGGGTTTTTCTCTGTATCTATGAAGCGCCTTGAGGCGACTTTTGTTGTGATTTGGCGCTATATAAATAAAATTGAATTGTATTGAATTGAATAGGGAAGGGTGGTGAGTTCATTGCTTATAGGTATGACATGAAAATGATACGGACCTCAAAGATATAGTTCCTAGTAATGAAATAATATCCTTAAATAAGCTGAATTTTAACCTACAAAACACCAACCTTCATAGTGGCCAGTAGCTATGTCAATTTACTGTGTGTGCACTAAAGAATGGTGAAAATACAGAAATGTAAATTATTTTTAACTTGAGCAGAAATGCAGAACTCTTGAGGTTTACTACTATGCGGATGTGCACCTTTAAGGTCTGTGACAATGACCTTGGTAATTTAAATAAATGTATTATGTAATGTTATTTGCGACAGTGTAATTTGGTTACCTTTAGTTTCTGATTGACCACTTTCTTCCATGGTACCAAAAGAACTGTGCCTTCCGTAGCAAAGTTATCTTCATGCATGACAATGCACCATCTCATGGTGCAAAGAACATCTGTTGCATTGGCTACTATGGGAATAAAAGGAGAGAAACCCATGGTGTGGCCCCATACTCCCCTGACCTCAACCCTGTTGAGAAAGGTCTGAGGGTGAGAGGCAATTCACATGAAAACAGCAGCTGTTGGAGGCAATTGTGATGTCTTGCCTTATCTCTCCACATTTAATGGATGCAAGAATTGGAAAGCTTATATGAAAGAAAGGGTCCTATGTTAACATGTTACATAAGTTTACCTGTCAATGTTTTTGATATAGCTTTTGGTTCTAAGCTGCTGAGCCGAGTACAGTATCAGTGTTTGTACTTTGTTGCTTCCCACCTCTGCTTCTACTTTAAACTGTTATCAGGGTGAAAACGATTCAGGTTTCATCAATAACACCGCCAACATCTGCTGTACCACTGAAAACCTGTGAATTTGTCAGTTCACACAAAGTGGTGACAGTGTTGAGACTGAGTGAACTGTCACATTTTCCTGTCAGTTTGTGGCCCAAATCATCCCAACTGCAATCTGCATGTTTCAAATGTCCAAATACCTCACACTGCGGTATAGGTTGGTATTAGGCCTTAAGGAATAAAGAATGGTCTTCCAATGCTGAGGTTTTAGATGTTTTGGCAAAGTCTAATCTGGCTTTTCTTTTTTTCTTCACTTTGCACCTTATGGTAACAGTCGGTGTGCTCCTGCAGTCTTCTCATTATAGTAGACCAACAATAAGGGACACAAACCTTCTGGAGAATCATTTTGTTATATTTTATAGAGGTTTACATTTACTATGGAAAGGATGCTGTGATCATCCACCAGTCTTCATTGATGTCCAGGCCTTTTTATGATGAGCTCAGTATGAACACCCTCCTTGTCCAAACCTTTGATTTTGCAATTCACATAGTTTTCCTTTTCAAAAAACAAAAACAAAAACCCATCCTTTTTTGCCACCTATAGATGTTCTAGTCCT